TTTTGCTAGAGTCAGGTTCTTAGTTGCTTTGTCTTTTCCAAAGCTTTCTCTAAGAGCGTGTTCTCTTGCAGCGTCCACAACAGTTTGCGTGTGCTTTCCAGCGCTTACTTAGACGTTTCATCAAGGTCTGGTTCTCACTGGTGGGATTGGGCACCCTGTGCCCAGCTCAGCTACCGCATTGCTCATTGTTTGCTTGTGGCAGAGTGCATTCTTTTGCCACAGTGTTTTGACAGTCAATTTTCACACAGTTGGCAAACGTGTGCCATCTCCTTGATCAACTGTGCTGTGTGCTGAGGTGGCTGCTATCCACTTCTGGAGGCGGCACGGCGTCCATTTTTTGAACCAGTGCCTTGCTTTCGTGTGCAGGTTCTGTGGACATGCCTATGCTGCCTGATGTTCTTCACTTCAGTGAGGACGAGGGGTGTTCTTCTTTGCACGCTTCTCCACACAATGTCAAGGGCGTGAATGATCGCACGAGGGTTGACAAGCCTCAAAGGGTTGCTCGGAAGAGTTTCAAAAGGGCTATCACGAAGCCTGTGGTCTCAGCCTCACCGAAGATTTTGCGACACCTGGTGCAGTCCGTGTGTGGCTGCTCAAGTGGCAGTTGCTTCGCTCCATTCCGCGTTGAGCCCGTCTTCTCAAAGCTGCTGCAGTTGAGGCAACTTTTGATCAGAATGTCTAAGTCTGAGAAGGATGTCCATGTTTTTGGGATTCTACGAGATCAGCCAAACACATCCTGCCGGGGCTGGATACACCTGCACTTACTGGAGCATCCAGTCTGCAATCGTGGGTTCATGAAGTTGGTGGCCATAGGCAAGACTCGCTTCCACACTTTGTCGCAATCAGTTCGGCGGGGGGACACGTTGTGCCCCTTTGATTTGAGATCCGCACCGCGAGAGAAGAAGACTCCTTCTGGAAAGAGGCAGCTGGCGCATGACTTTCTCATGTCGCTCTACCTGCACGCAGCCGAGCCAATCCCTGATGGATTGAATAGCAACAAGCGTCCACGACGCGGTGCTTGGAAATTGGACCCTCCGAATTTGGACCGGAGCGGCATTAGACATTTGCCCCCCGGTAGCTTCTCAGATTTCTACCGCCAATGTGTGGCCTCACATCCCACTGCAGGCATTGGTCGGAACTTGTTCAATAGCGTGCCTCCCCTGCCACGGTACTGTTTTTTCTTGGTCCTTGTAGGTTCCTTTCTGAGTTGCAGCATGTGCTTTCGGCGTCGTTCTTTCCAGGTGTGGATGCAAAACTTCTCTGACAAGCTCCGCGTCCGGTTCAGCAAACACCACAGTCGCTGTTCCCAGTGCTTGAGACATCGCCTCATCATCCGAAAGTTGGGCCATTGCCCCCCGGCCATGAGAATGCAGTCCGAATTACTCCAGTCCCACCTGAAACGGCAGCATTCTGACAGATGTTGCTACTGGGATGCTCGCTCTCGCTCGAGGGCCTGCGCTGCCAATGGCACTCACCACTACATCACAGCCATTATCGACTCGATGGACCAGCAGAAACATGCTTGGCCAAAATGCGAGCAGATCCAAGCGAAGGACTTCGGGTCCTTTGTCAGACCCCGACTGTCCAATACCACAATGTTGATACACGGTCATTGTGTTCTGATGGGCTTGAGTCCGCATTCACATACCTCCAACAGCAGTCGCAGCGTCGAGCTGTTGGCCCGGGGCCTGACAGCATTACACCAGAAGGGCGTGGATTTGAGCGCAGCTCATTTCCACGTCCAGGCGGACAATTGCACAAAGGAAGTGAAAAATATTGGAACACTTCGCTTCTTTGGCGCCCTCGTGGCCCAGCGGAAGCTGGCCTCGGTGACCCTTGGATTTTTAGCCTCGGGTCACTCTCACGAAGACGTAGACAGCTACTTTGCCAACCTCCGCTCGTGCCTCGCTGCAGCCCCACGTTTGGAGGTTCCTGATGACTTCGTTACTTGCTTTCAGAAGTATCTGGCTGATCCTCAGCGACGGCCCCATGAACCTTCCCGGGAAGTCTTCATGTTGACTCGCTTTCGTGACTGGTGCCTTGGCTGCTCAGCCAATAACTAGTGTCTTTGCCAGGCGCAATCACCTGGAGTAAGTGATGAGATCGGACAAACTCTTTCTACACTCTACTGTTTTTTCAGTCAGGACCAACTTCTTCTCTGAGCACTACGATCACATGCGGATCACCGGAATAGGTGGGCCTGGCGCCCCCCACCACTTCTTGCTGGAGAGAGTGGCGGAGTCAGGATTGGGATTGGCAGCATTGTTTCTTAGCCACAGATTGCACACCCTCATGTTGTTTCTTAGCCACAGCATTGTTTCTATGTTGTTCTATTTTGTGACTGTGCCCAGGACTTCCGAGAGACAGCATCGACGATACTTTCTGGCGACGTAGAGGGTATGTTCCTTCGCCCAACGATGTGGTGTTGAGGACGGTTTTGTTTTTCTGAAGGCGCTGCGTCCCAATTGCCTCTTGCCAGGACCAAGCAGTTTATGAGCACTCCCAACTGGACTGCCAAACCGCTTCTCTTCTTCCCTGCGTGTGCCATCCACCAATTCATGGGTGAAGTGCCACCAGGCACCCATGGTTTGTGCGTGTTCACACATGGCTTGTGTGTCATATCAGTGATTGTTTGTGATTCTTCTACTCCAGTTTTTACGGAGCCTCCGATGAACGCGAACTCCGAAGAGAACCAAAAGCTCAGAAAGTATGCGGCCATTATGCGTCGGTGCCTCGTGAGATTTCAAGCGTGAGGCTGTAGACACATTGTGTTCACTCCATTTATTCAGCACCATGGCATCTTCAAAAAAACTAGCGCAAACATTGTTTTAACGACTTTGTGTGATCTAGGTGCACACCCCTTCGACATGCACAAATCTGCAGATGAGTTAGAACGGCTGTCTTATGGCACCTGTACTCATTGGCCTCTTCTTGATGTGGGATGGTCTGACCCCCAGCCAGTTGGCCCAATCAGCTTGCGACCCCTGCGGCTTTGTGCCCGGCCCAGGGCACTGACAGCTCGTGGTCCACTGGTTGGAGGGCCTGCGTTCGCGATCCATGGGATGGTGCAGGACTTGCAAGCGGTTCAGCCCTCATACCTTTGTGGATTTAGTACCATCGCTATGATTGTGATGGGTTGAGGCCCCCAATGATCTTCGACTTCGGCGGGAAAGGCCAGGACGAGATGAACTGATTAGATTTGAGCGTGCCAAGAGGCACCAAACTATCTACAGGGCCGCATCAAGGCTCTGGGGTCAAGGTGTAGCTATGTCCGAAGCCATTCGCATTGTGAAGCAAGCTGTCAGAACGGTATCTGGTGATTTGGAGTAGTTGATTACGACTGTCCAGCCCTGGGGATGTAAGACGGATTAGGTGTTTGCGGTGTCATTGGGAGCAGGGAACTCTTTTGTTGGAACATGTTGGAACTATAACTAAATGGAATCTCAAATCGACCCACAATTTGAAGTGTTTACTGATTTTGCGCCCTAGCTCACTGTATCTTGCCTAGTGTCGTGCCCTAGCCCTGTTCACAAGACATTGCAAGCAGCCTGTCCAAGCTGTCCCATAGGATGGGATTTGGGGATTGGGGGAAACTGTCATTTGCGCAGGGTCTGGAAGAACCTTGCTTGAGTTTGTGCAGAGATCATCCGGCACAAAAAATGTCTCGGACTGGGAGCAACAGGTTGTGCTTATCGGTGTCGCCATCCGGCACTAACTGGCTGGGCACCAGTGGTGGACAGGATTGATTGTGTATCTTGTTGTTTTTATCATTGGTTTCTTTGCTAACACAAAGGGTTTCGTGCTTACCGAGGACGCCATACGGCACAAACCGCGGTGTTTGATTGACTGTCAACTTAGTGCCAAAACTAGTCTTCACAAATCACTGTGGTACCACCTGAACACCACTCACAAATTGACCACCTGGGAAGTACTCACACTCTTTGTGCTTAGTCAGGGCGCTAGTCGGCACAAATGGATGTGGCGAACGTGCCACTCGGCACAAAACCATTGTCGGAACTTCGCACTCGGCACAAACCCGGAGTCATCGCCGCCCCACTCGGCACAAAATCTTGCCTGCCAGGACTTGCGATGGCGCCCAAGAAGAGGACTGCTTCTGCCTCAGCGCCGAAAAAACCGGCCAAGAGAGGCAAGGATGCAGGGGCGATTCCTGCTGACGCACTTCGAATGGAACACATGGTGATGTTGGACGAATGGATGTTTCTTAGATCAAAAACGGGTCACAGTGAATGTCTTGTGCAAATATGTGAGACTCACATCAACAGTCGTTTCTTTGGTCTGCGTGCCGTTTGTTACATGCTACCACTTCAGGAACACAAACATCTTGAAGGAAAACAAGACAATGGATGTTTTTCTGAGCGAGAAACTCTCTGACAAGGAGTGGAATGGGTAGTGCGCGCGCATTCGTACCATTCACAAACAATTCAGGCGCTTCATTAAAGGTTGATCTATTTGACATTTATGTTTGTGCCTGTGGGGGGAGGACACTAGCGCGGAGTTCTACAAGTGGATCGACTACAACTTCCCTCCTATCGATGGTTGGTGCAATTCTCAAAGTCTTCTCTTGTAAAGATCTTAAATTATACTGTGCGCAGATCAGCGTCAGGTCCTACTTGGAGTCCTCTCAGCTGGACACTGTGGGCGGCTACCTTTGCCGCCCATGGCAACTGCCGCACAGGATGGATTATGGACTTCGTGGCACATCCGACATTGCGCTTTCCTCAAGCCTTTTGCATTTTTAGCAATTCATTGTTCCTGCTGAGTAGTTTTATCTGGCTTCTTCTCCTGAGGACGTTCAGCAGCAACTGACACAGGTTATTGCCTTGAACGGCTTCCAGAGCGACCCAAACAAGCCTGGAAACGAGAAGCTGTGCGCATGTCGAATGCAAACAGCATGGCTCCAGGAGGGCCCCATGCCTGACATCAATATGAAGGTAGACCTCGGATTTGACCCATCGCTGGCAGCTCCATCGAAGCTCTTCATGGTGAAGGGATGGAATCGCAGCGTTTGCTGCTTGACAACTTTGTGGGCCATGTTTGAGCTCCCAGGGCTGTATGAGGCAGGGTGCCATTTGCAGCCTGGGATACCAAGTATTTGTGTAGCAATCTGCCCACAGGCCTTTCCAGAGGATACCAAGAAGTGACTTAGCTTCACTGATATTCGTGCTTTCCCAAGTGTGATGCGTAATTACAATTGCGCGTCGCAGGACTTTTTCTTGCATTTACGTCACCCTTGTGGAGCCGGAGCTCACACAAGTGGTCAGCACCAATCGAGGACTTGACCAAGTGCCGTTGTTTGACATTTGATGTATTGTCACAGGTCACATTGGAATCAACCATCAAACAAAATCGTTGCTGTGGCAGGCGTTTCAGCTGCCAGCACCCTCAGGAGGCGTCCCAATTGCTTTAATCTGCTGCACCAGCTCCAGTTCCTGCAGCAAGGGGGACTGTCAGCAGAGCAGAGTGTGCGGCACCTCAAGGCTTGTGTGGACCTGTGTTGCTAGAACCTGGAGTCCTGCCGTTTACTTCAATCAGGCGCAAGAGAATGTAGCGGCTTTCGCCAGTGCATTCTCGGTTGGCGCCAAAGAGAGCCAAGCCGCAGTGAACTTACTCCAGAACATCCCCGTTGGCATCAAGAACAAACTTACTGAGCTAGCAAGGCCATTGATAGATTTTTTGCAGTTCCCATTTGGCAGCTTTTGGCGCTTCAGCTTTTGCTAGTTCCATTTTAATTGTTTCTCCAGGAAGTACACCCAAGCACGCTTCATCACGCATGAATCCTTGGCGATGAATTTGCTGAACGTGGGTTTCAACAGTGCCTCTGGCCCCTTCTCGGCATGGAAGCCTCACTTGGTCAATACGGAACGCTTGCTGGAGGTTGTAATTTCCCGCATGGAAAGTGATTGGGTCAACCTGGCCCCCAAGATGCGCAAAGCTTGGACGGGTAAGGACTTGGAAGCAAGGCCGCGTTGGATTATCCTGCATTGCACCGCTGTTTTCACATTGTGCAATTCATTAACTTTATTGATTCAATGATGTGTCTCAAGGAAAACTTGCAACGCATTTGTGCTGGGTACATGGCGTTGCTGGATCAGTTCATGACCATGGTCCCCAAATCCTTTGCTGATTCAGTGATACCGGATATCAACAAAACGCGACTCGTCATATTATACTTGTGTACACACATAGGGATGGTGATATGGTTTTCATCCTTCTCGTGAAACAGGTTTGCTATGCGCCACGCTGACCACGACATCTTGCACATGCTGGAACACAGCGTACCACCAGCTGATGTCACCAAAGTGGCGTTGTTTTCAAGCCCGCTGGCAAAATTCAAGCATGAGGCGGGTCCATCAATGTCAAATGAACACCTGCATCGTCCTGAACCCAAATGCTCTGTTTCTGAGAGCCTAGCAGGTCGAGCAGAAGAACAATGACAAGGCCGCTTCGTCCTCTGGATGCAATGCCTGTCAGCAACGTTCACACACACACGTTGACCGTCGATATACAACCAGCGATGGGTTATTTGTTTCTACCATTAAGGCTATCTGCGCAGTTGTTGGCTACCAGCTGGCAACAAACGGAGCTGGGCATCCAATCGGATTTGTTGAAGCTGAAAACATGGGCTCAAGAGTTCGACCTGTTCGCACAGAAGCAGGCAGTCCCTGTGCTCGATGCTTGATGTTCTGAAAGCTTCAGTTTCTGATCCCAAAACATTTATCATATGTGGCTGTGAGGCTGGTCTGGACCTGAAGTACCTTTCTGATAGGTATCAGAAGGGGAAGGCGGCTGTTGAGAATATGATGAACAAGTGTCACCGCTTCACACACCAGAGTTCCATCATCATGGCACACAATGCTATCGTTTCCATGCAGAACGAACTGGGCACCAATGGGTGGCTTAGCAAAAAACTCTTCACTAGATTGTCACTAGATGATGTTTGAACTTTGATCTTAATGCATCGTCCATGGATGTCCATGGAACTTTGGTTTCAACCAGCTGAATGAATTCCCACAAGGATCACATTGCTTGTGGGCGATGCCACTTTGTGGCCAATTCGTGCCTGGTCGGAAAGATATGATCCCGCCAATTTGCATTCTTCCAAAAGATTGGCACTCAGACATAAAGATGAAACAAACATAAAGATTAAAAAGACCCCCACAAGTCCCCCAGAACCCCTCTGCACCATGAGTTTTAAGGGAATAACGGGTAACTTGTGGGGGTCTTTTCATGTATATATATATATACACAAACATGTTGTACAAATGGGGGTTTCAACGAGGACACCTCTCCATCGACGAGTGCGCTCAGATCTCTCAGACTGTGACCACTGGCTCTCCGGCCTCTGCAGCCCTCTTCTTGCTTCCGCAGTGGCATTCATCCGCTCCTAAGACGGCCGTGGTGAAGCATAGGCGCCTACTGGAGGACAAGGTGCTGGGGAATCTCGACTGAAAAGGCTTGTCTACGTGACACAACCCTTGTTGTCCTCTCTCACACTCTCACAGTGAATGTTTTGCGGCTCTGAGTGAATGGGTTGCCACTGTAAGGGTTTTGGACACCTATGAGATTTCTCTGGTGTTTTCGGGAGAGCGACATGGAGGTGATCGCCGCAAAAACAGTCAACAATGTGCTTCACTCAGCTGTTTTTTGGTTTCACTCACTCACGCAAGAATACTTTTCACTGTTGGTTCTTCCTTTCAGGTGTGGCAGGTGTGGCTGGGCACCACACCAACAACCCATGGACCAAATCGAAAGCATTCCTTGGAACCATCTCCGACATCCCCAGAGCACGTGTCGGTGAGCTGGTCAACCCTGAGCCGGACCGTCCACTCTCACCACACTGGGTTACTCGGTTGATCCCGCAACTTTTGAACCCCTTATGCTTTGCAGTTGTAGCTGCCAAGCTGTCGTATCTATTTTTAGAACCTCTTGGGGCATCGAGGTGCAGCAACGTGGAACCAGTGCTACGAAAGAGATCATCCTTCAGCTTTTGGACGGGATCACTGACCCTGCATCTACTCCAACGTTGCTGCTGGTGGACCTTCTCCCAAACAGGCCAGGCTGAAATTATTGTGGAATCTTGATGTGTGCCCATGACCGCATGTGAGTGTATCCAGGAGTTGTGGGTTCAGTGAGAGGATTGGTGAAGGGCAAGCAATGTCATTCAATATCAATCCCACATTCTCCCACTTCCCCATGGTCTCTTTCCATGTGCTGAGTGGTTCTCCTGCAGGTTTGCAGAGTGGAGCGGCGCATCTTGGCTCCTGCAACGAGATTGGTTGACAAAGGAGAAGGACGACAAGTCTGTTGACATTCGATACCTGGGGGTCTACCATGACGCCGATGCAGCTGTGATGAAGTCTGCAAAAGATTCTGTTGCTGGCCGCATGCTAAGTCAGTGGTGGGACAAAAGCGATGAAGCAGGTGCTACCAGCCGCCCCAATGCGACGTTTGGGGTTGAGCCACCCAAGCTGGAGGTTTTGAGCTATTCAGATGACCAGTTGAAGACACTCCCATTGGCCTAGCGCTTCTTTCCCACTGTGTTTTTCATTTACTTTTACAATGTGATACAATGTGTTTAATGAAACTGTCCCAATTGTGTGAGCATGGCCATCTCAGGATTCCAGACGTACTCCAGCAAAAGTTCAAGCCCAGTCATGGTGCAGCCTTGCAGGCCTGTTTGGATGCTTTGGCTGATGAGACTGCGATTGCCAAAGCTTTGGTCGCTTATCATGGGGGGTCACCTACTACTACTAGTCCAACAAAAGCAGACGCTCCCCGAACTGTGGCCAACCCAGATTGGCAAGGTGAAGCCGTTGTGAACTTCAGGAAGCGCCTTCATCTGTCTGGGGTGCCGATCACGGATTTCGAATCGAGCAATTCGTTTCTCGCTCTAGTTTGGTCAACAGCTTTACATTTCCCACACTAGTGTTAAACATGATGTAAACAATCGCGTGCTCTTCTCGGGAACATCCTCTCCGGGTCTCCTTGATCGGTCCAAAGGCTGGATGCCTGCGCCAAGCTGGCCCGTGAACCGTCTCTGGAAGCGGCTGTGACAACTACGGGCCACTTGTTCTTGGTGAACAAAACGGAAAAGGACATTGCGTTGCCTGCTGGAGAGCTCTTCGGATTCAATCTGGGCAGCTTTGTTGAAGTTGCTTCAGGCACTGTGTGGTACTAACAAAGCCATGAGCACCCTTGAGCCCCTACTGTTTCGATATGTTTCGATTATTATTTTTTGAGGTGTTTGTGCACAAACCAATATCAATGAACCCTGGCAGAACATGCGGCCACTCTCGACGCCTCCTTGTCATGGCTGGTCAGCGATGACAAGCAGCTGGTCGCCTTGATCAAAGAGGGAACTGACAAGGAGCTCATGTCCCTGGCAGAAGTGGTTTGTTCAGTGGCCAAGAACAAGGGCATTACAGAGTGCAAGATCATTGACCACGAACTCCAGCCCAAACTCAAGGCTCATCATGTCTAAGAAAAACATCTTACATTGTTGTTTTTCATTTGTGATGATACGCTCAATCATGTCAGTTTTTCTTTAATCATGAAATCATCTGTGAAGGTGACCTCTACTGGTGAGCAAGTTCCACTGAACTTTCGCTATTCAGTGACTCCTGCGTCAAAAGTCAACAGCTTCAAGCCAAAGGAACTTCCTAGCGATTGCGATCGACGACAGCTCAGGGCAGGGCAGCTGGGGGCTGTGTGGTGCGGTCGGCTGCAGCAGCTGCCTCGAGCAGATCATGTTGGATTGATTTGGGAGGCCTGGAGTCCAACTCACCCTTTTCCTTTTACAAACAGTGTCAAACAGTACCATTGGTATCAAGATGTCTCCAATGCAGGTTGAAGCTGGCGAAGAGATTCCTTCTGTGATCACCCCTGTGAAGCCAAAGTATTTTCTGCTAGGCACAGTCAATGTGCCCGCCAAGCAAGCAATCAAGCTTGCGTAGGTTCATGGCCGCATTTGAACTCATTGTTTTTCAACTGGTTTGCTGTTGGGTTTGTTTGATACCAAACATTCATTCGTAACATTGTTTGGGAGACCTTTCCAAAGTGGTTGCTTGTGTTGATTGGTTTGTAAAGCTTTCTGCGGTCTTGGGGCTGGATCTCACATCACACTACCCAGTGTACAGTGAGAACGAGTGAAGAAACGAATGCCATTGCAAACCACATGCCATTTAGGCTGATGTGTTTTTTGGGGCGCGTTGTGAATGTTTTGGTCGAACTATTAGTATCTAAGTATCTATATTAGATATATTAGTGATTCCTGGGATACTCTGTGAAAGCTTTGGTCCAACTACATAGATAGTGAAAAGGGTTGAATGGACGGCTTTCAAAGGCTGTACGCCGCCATGGTGCTGAGCCCCGTAGACCAGCTCTCTGATGCTGATGAATCTCAGAAGGGTCAAGCAGGAGCCACAGGTTCCAGTAAGGCCAAGGCCAAACCTCCAGCCAAACCTACAGGTCCAAAACCTTTCAAAAGGCCAGCGGCTTCTGTTGAACCACCCAAAACCGAAGCTCCTGAAGAGACCACGCCGAGAAAGTCAGCCCTTCGTCTCCCTGTGCTGAAGCGGCCTTCGTCTGCGAGTACTGGTGGCAACGATGAGCCACTGCTGAAAAAGCCTGCTGCGCTGGGGATCTCAAAGTACCGGTACAAGAATGGAGTCTGGGGGTTCAAGGTTGGAGGCAAGCAGGAGAAAGCGCTCTCAGTGACTGGGTGGCACACAGGGTTTGAAGAACTACACACTGAAATGTGTTGGGGAACATCTTTTTCCTAGAACGCATCGTCCACTAAGATGCACCCAGACCCGGACTTGGACGAACAAGTCCAAGAAGACATTGCGGCTACGAGTTGCAATTATTTTCTATGCTCATGACTCATGAGTAGAACGATGTGTATGCAAACTTTTTGTGGTACCACCTGCATACTTACAAGGTTGCAATGCGAGCGGAACTGGTGCGTACCCATGGTGATGTGAATGCAGCTGTGACCTTAAAGGAAAGATCTTATTTGAAATAAGATGTATTTGTGATTTGGGCAGGGTTCCATCTCTAATCACTCAAAACCATTCTTCCTGCAGGATGAGATGCTCCGGGTGGCCAAGTTGAACGTAAAGAAGGATGAACCCAAATGTGAGGCAGAGATTCAGGAAACTGAAGATTTGGAATTCGGAGCCCTTCAAGAGGGTGGTGAAGAAGAGGAATGCGAGCAGGATGAGGAAGAAGCCGAGGGCTGAACCTCCTAGAGATCTTTAGAGATCTTTGATCTTCCGAACCCAACGACTCCGAGCCTCCCCGAAAAAAGATGCCATCATTGCTTCGCAATGGCCGCGGGAGAAATGGATGGGGGTTGAAATGCTTATGTCTTATGTGTTCTAAATGACTGTTTGAAGACCCTGTGGAGTTCTGCTCTTGAAAGCTGGTTCACACCTGTTATCAATGTTTAACAAGTAGTGAAGTTAACAGGTTGGAAAACTCGTGGTGGCAAACAAATCGAAACGGACGCCAGATGGACCCCAGCTGAGTGCTTGCGTGAGATGTGATATGTACATTATGTTTACACGCATATATACATATATATATACAACACCTTGTAACAAAGAGGTTTGGAAAAACATATATGGGTCTGACAGCCTTCACCCTTTCTAAGCCACAAGCACGAGGACAGGCTTGTATTACGCGCGTGCGCACAAAGGTACTTGTAAAGGCTCCTGTCCACTTGCATCTTTTGATGCCACTTTCAAAAATTACACTAACCAATGTTGATGAAGAGTTTCGGTGGCACATGCAGATGAGGCTTGCGCAACCACTAGTGCCAAACACCAAAAGGATTAGCTGTGCACAAGTGGCTCAGCAAACGTATGCGGTGACACAATGTTTTGACATCAGTTCTGGCATCAATCTGGTTTGTGTTCTGGCATTCTTTTTCAGCTCCAGCTGTTGCCACAGCTGTTTCTCCCTAGGCAAAACACAAAACCCTAGTCAAACATCAAACCCTGGAAAGGGAGGAACATCAAATGTTGGCATTATGCAGATTGGACATGGTACCAAGACAACTACGGAGCGGATTGGTGGCGTCGCGGACAGTGAACTCCACCAATGCACGGCGGGAGCCGATGCCTTACGGTAGTTGTGCAATTCTTTTTATTCAGTGGTTGTGGTCTTACATTGCCCCTTTAGGTGTCGAAATGCTCTCGGGAGCCTTCGCACGCACTGCGGAAGCAGTAGCCTCATGTTCAACTTCTTTGAGGCTGTCCGCATTCTTTCCTGAAAGGCCGAAGTGCACTCTTCCTGAAAGCATCACTCAGCGTGCCGCGTGGAAACGTGTGCCTATGTAAAAGGCCCATTTCCAATTTGACGAGCTGTGGATGCATGTGAAAAGCGCTGCGTCCAATCTTCGATCGTCCGTTCGGCAGCTGACTTCATAACTTAATCGAGTTAATCGTCGTTCCCTTGCGCCTCAGGTCGGCAAAGAATCTATGAAAGCCATAGGCGCGTACGGTGTTAACCATGAGGGAAACACCGGGGAACCGGAGGTCGGAAAGGTATGCACGTTGTCCCGTGTACATAGTCGTGTATAGAGTTCTTCACTACCTTTGCTGCCAAGTGCGTTCAGCGGGGGGTGTATTTGCACGATTGTACACCTGTACATACCATATTGACCTCTATGTTTGGCTCAAGAAAAGGGCGCTCTACATGTTGGTACTTGTAGGCTGTTGGCCTGTAAATTCATTGAGAGATGGATGGAAAGGTCTGCGACTATTCCCCCATCAGGTCTTATCATCCTCCACTGGGCCCTGGAAGCTCGTGATAGATCCAACCTATTCCAGGACCGAACCCGTTCGTGCAGCGGTTCTTGGACACCCCGTTCTCTTCCTGAACCTTGTAAAACGAGGCGAACTGGACAATGGACACCTCTCTCTTACGTGGCTTCGGTCCTGGTACTTGGCCCACCGCCCGCCCGGCCAACCCGACCGGTTCGACGAACAGTGAGACTGGAGAGTGCTGAAAAGGGGGAGACGTGCAGATGTTTATGTTTTTTGAATCTCCTGTCTTGCTTTATATATATATATATAAAATATATATTTAATGAGCGCGAGACTGGAGAAACACCTCACGGAGCAGAGGAAAACCGAGGTGATGTGATGGGGACGATGGACGGGACATGGGTGGTGTATTTGAATAGGGAGACGCCCCTGAAGCTTCGCCCCGAAGCTTCGGCTGGGTCGACTGGTCTCCTTTCCACCGCACCAGTCTCCCACGAAGTGGTGGTTGAAGGGGGGGGTCGGGGTAGCTCCGGTACGCTACGGTCACTGCCAAGAGAAAGTAGCAGCTCCCTCGCTTCCCAAGGCATCCGGTGAAGTTCGAGGCCTTCTTGGATGAGGTGGGCGGTTCGTCTCGTGGACCTTGGGAAGCCACAGGTTCTTTGAAAAAGGAGGTAGAGAATCTTAGGAAGTATGGAAGTATACCAGAACCAGGACCATCCTGTCTGAGTGTCGCTGGACTACCCCAAACTACTTAGGGCTAGACTCTAGACAGAACGCCCATGTCCAGGATGGTCCAGGTAGAAGGGTGGTGTACATACTCTCTTGTCCTCATTCCTTTTCCTCACAGGGTCAAATATGCTGTGTTATTTTTCCCCACGAAGTCGCTTCGCTCGCTTCAAAAAGCCGGTGCTTTTGACGTTTCCGAAAGAACCGGCAGAACCGGGTCCTGATTCTGACCCTTTTTTTGATTCTGGAACCCACATGACGACAAGGAGCTTTTCATCCCAGACCCTGATCGGATTGTCGTCTTTTGGATCAAAAGGAGCTGTGCCATGATTTTTGTCACAATTGCGTTCCCTGCCCTACTTCTGAATTTGGGACCTGATTGGACACAGATCGAGAGTTCCCACCACCGCGAAGCTGACCGAGCGTGCTTTCACCGCTCTGGGCTCTGTGCTGGGATCAGTGTGAATTACGCACCACATCGCAAGCACAGCTTCGTCCAGGTGATTGGTTGGGTTCACATGCAGGATTTGCTGGGGCTTATTGGGGTTTGCCCTCCAAACCATGCACCAGCATGCATTTGACACTTGTCGACCGGCAGGAGCCAAGGGGGATACAGTGAGTACTGTAGCGGTTTTGGGATATCCACCCGACGGTTCTTTATTTTCTTGTTTCTACTGGCTTCTTGTTACTACTAGTAAGGCACTTGTTACTAGTAGCGATGCACTTGGTTACTACTAGCTTATTGTCCTCCCCCTGAAACAAACGCCCTTCCAGGTGAGCAAAGAACCCAAGAGCTTTGAGGACCGAGACGCGTAAAGCGAGACGCGGCGGCGTGCCCGAACCAATGGCCTCGTCGTTCTCGTCTCGGAATTGGGTTACTGATAGGTGATAGGTGAGCCCACGAGACTGAGAAAGAGAAACCTCAAGACTCAAGGCCTCCTGGCCATGGGGAAGGCCACCTCTGCCCTGGTCCGAGAGTGGGCCATATATTGGACCTATATAAACTCTGTTTTGATAGGAAGAGACAATATTTTGGGTGGTTTGTGGTCCAAAAGAGAGGTCATTCAGGTTCAAGGGAGTTACTGTATGTCAAGAGGCTGGCTAGCACTCCGGGGAGATCTGGCAGGAAGCGCTGATTTGGACTCGTCGACACAGTTTTGTGCTGTAGTCCAACCAATCCAACTCCAGCTTCCAAGCTATGTCACTGTGAACCCAATGGGTCTTGTTGCCACGCTTTCCCTCCAGTTCAGAAGCTCGAGCCGCTGGAAGCAACCCGGTTGCACCGCATGAAGTAATCACAAACGCACGTGAACGATCAGACACGAGACGTGAGCTCACGTGCGTGGCGCTGGCGCGCGCGCGCGCGCGCGAGCGAGTCGACAGGACTTCATCGCACACCAGCGCTTCGTGAGCTTCCCCACTGGAAGCCTCTTCAGCGCCTCACACGGACCTTTGCTTCGGCGCGATGGCGGTGCCTTCGGCGAAGGGGGGGGGTGAGGGAGAAGCGAAAGGGAGACGTGGGAGGGAGGGGCAGAGAGTGGAGAGAGTACAGTAGGACATTTGAAGCTTCACCGAAATCGGTGTTTTTGGAGTGAAAGACGAGGATGGGGTGGCTGCCATGTTGGATTGCTTTATTTCTGATTGAGGGTAGAAACGCTGCTTGCCCGGAGGGTAGGCAGCTCCAGCTCGGCGAGTGTTCTTCTCAAGATGTGATATCTGGAGTAGCAGTTGTTCAATTCTACAGTGGTTCCACACATTTCCAGGATCTGCGCCATTTAGGAGGTGTGTTTTGTCAAGATCCCAACCTGACCTTCACCTGCTTTACCCCAAGAACTCTCAAAGCGTCTTTGGAGATCCCTATGGATTCTAACAAAAGCCCCTGCGCACAGCGCCCATGACAGAGAATGAGAAAGGACATAACATAGCACAAAAAAAACAAAGAAAAAGACAGAACAGATCAGAAAGAACGTGTTTTGTGCTTAGAACAACACAGAACAGTGGATTCCATCGAAAAGTCACCCCAGTCACCTCACATATCCCCACCACCACCACCCGTCCCACTCTGCCAGAACAGGCTGTCCCTTTTCCCGCTCTCAAACCCTGACCAAAGCCCTCCCATGGAACCCCCTGCGCTCTCCGGGGTCGGTGCGACGATGGACCCTGCCGCCGGAGACCTCCGAGGTGAAGAGCCCCGAAACACGCGGAAAGCCACCAAGACTACGGGATGCTTCATCCGTCGCTCCGGCCCGGTTTTGCAGCGTCACCAGTGGGTGGGTGTTTTTTCTTTTTCGGATGTCGTCGATGGTGAGCTGGGAGCAGTGGGGGGGGGGGTGGATGGGAGGGGGAAGGCACTGAAAAACTCACCAGAAATCGAATCAGGGTTATTAGTTATTAGATAATAAATTTAACATGGAACCTGAAAACCACTGGGTTGTAGAGGAAAATCGTCTTCCAGTCAGGTCCATGCCATCAGGTTCCATGTGGGTCTCTTCCCAGGTGTACGTGGATGGCATGGCCTCTATTCCAAGGTTTTCTTCGGTGTGCGAAGTTTTCGATGCTGGGTCGACCCCCCCGGGGGCCGTGGTCGGTTTGCCGGTTCCTGACCTGGCCACCTTCCAGATGTTATACCTAGATCTTCCAACTATGCAAAATTTATGACTGTTAGTGTATAAAACCAGCCAAAAGGGCAGACATTTTGCATAGTTGGAAGGTCTAGATATATTTTGTTTGATCCGTTTTTGGGGGCAACCGGCTCTTCCAAGTCTCAAAATGAAGGCCCCAGCAGTTTGCGTCGTTTCCCTAGTGACTATGAGCCACTGCCTGCTTCGGGACTTGTGGATTTTCCACCCACCGGTCGGCTTTCGAGTGTCTCTCAGCAACAAACACTGGACTGGGACAGACCCATTGCCCTTCTCACCTGTCAGCTCGGCGCCTCACCCACCGACCAGCCGAGCGACCCTGGCCAAGTCGCTCGGGCTGCGAAGGCGCAGTCGCCGCGTCAGGCGAGTGCGAGTCCGTGGCGGTGCAGCTGTGAGGGCGCGAACGCTCAGCGGGCGCAGGCGAGGGTGTGCGGCTGGACGGATGGTCCACCGGACCCTTCTGAAGTTCACAGGTTCGGCTTCCAGGCGAAGCACGCAGCTTCCAAGCTCGGCTCAGAAAGCTTCCAGGCCAGGCAATTGGCTTCACTTGAATTTGATGTGCGGTAGCAGGTAAATCCAATCTTGGGTGATCTTCTAAACTGACTTGCTGACGGAAATGTTGGACCAGCAGAGTTAATTTCTCAGAGTTATGAGTTACTGTACATTCCCTCAACAGATTGAAGATCACCTGTTCCTGGCCTAACATCTCAAGTGTGAACATGGATGACCATGACGCCAATTATAAGGCTGGGGCCATTTCTTTGGACGGCGGAGGAACTCAACGCACGGTATTCGTACTCATGCGTTCGGAGGTATTTGTACTCAGGGTTGGACTTCGAAAGTTCTCTTCAGGGTGAAGCTTTTGGGGATTCATTGGATGGCCCCATTCGTGCCTAGTGCCCAATGTGCACTTATTGATTGATCTGAGATTGGGCACTCGTGCCACTTGTGCCCAATGTGCACTTCTTATGATTCCATTTTGCTTGCTTTCATTTGTAGTGCCCACCTTTTGAGGAAGGGGCGAAGGCGAAGAGTAACTTGCTTTGGAAAGATGAGGCTGCACAGAGAGTGAACAAATCATGGATCAAGAACCACCAGGAGGATCCACTCCAACGGAGGTCTAGCAAGGTGACCGGTTGGATGATCAAGAACGACCTACGGCCCAAGACACTCACTTGCGGCTTCATCCAAAGCTGGATTCTCACCTTTGTATATACCTGGATCTTCCAACGACGTGCAACATTTCTGCCTTTTCATCCAAAGAACCAGCTTAAAGGGCAGACATTTTGCACAGTTGGAAGATCCAGGTATACAGTATAGTGATTTGCAGCAGCGTGCAATCATTTTCCACTTGGCGCGCAGCTGTGCAAAGGATTTTCATTTGGCCCTGAAGGTGCTACGGTGAGCGCAACTTGGCGAGCGGTGTTCAGGGACATTTACCTGTTGATCCACCATTCTCGTGTGGGGTTCTTGTTCTTGACGGGCATGTCCTCATTCCTCCTCCCCCTTCCGGCTCCCGCCCTCCTCTCATCATCTCATCTCACTCATCGTCTTCATTTTCATTTTCATCTTCATGTTCACCTTCACCTTCACCTTCAGCTTTTCCCTCCCTTCCCTTCCCTTCCCTTCCCTTCCCTTCCCTGCCCCTCCCCTGCCCTGCCCCGCGCCGCCCTGCCCCGCCCTGCCCCGCCCTGCCCTGCCTTGCCCTGCCCTGCCCTGCCCCTTCCTTCGCCTCGTCATCCAACTCAACCAACAACTCATTCAACTCATCATCTCAACTCTACAACTCAACTTATCTCTACTCAATCAACTCAACCAACTTCTAAAGGGCTGGTGCGTGCCCGCCGTAATCGCCTGGGCACAGCAGCCTCAGCGTGTTTTGTGTGGCTGTGCCGCTCTTGCCGGTGCGATGCAGGTTCGTTATTGCTTGCAACACACTTGACCCTGCTCCCAACTGGTCTATGAGTCTATCAACTCAACCAAATCACCATCAACTAGCTCAACCAACTCACTTCAACCCAACTCACGCAAATCAACCAACGCCCTCTTGACTTTCTTTCTGTACCCCCTTCTTTCCGTCCTGTTCCCATCTCTTCCTTTGTGTTCGGCATGAACTGTTCCAACTCCGACTCTTTTGTCTTTTTCTTTTGGAAGGCGTAACATGCGGGGTTATCCAGCCCTTTAAGTTGAATAATCACTTGTGATGATGTTTGTATAGGTGCTTTCATGTGATTTCTACATTCCCCAAACAAACACAGTGTAGAGGAATCCTTTTCGCTCGAAAACTGACACCCCGGATTTTCACAGAGGAATTTCATGAATCCGATTAGCCCCTTCAAGGATATGTGCTCCAAACGCGCCAGCAGGGCATCCAACAGCAGCACACGGGCTTTGCTGGAGTCGTGACTGTGCAAAGCATGCTCGGAACCGCGGTGTAGGAGCAGTGAAAACCATCCTGGTGTGCTCCGCCTGTGCGTTCCTGTTTGCCCAACTTCCACTTTTATAACTGGTTGCCTTTGGCTGAGATTGGCCTAGAGGCTCAACTCCAGGGGGTAGGAATTGAAGGTTCAGCTGAGACTACAGCCCCAAGTGGGTGTATGGATAGCAGATGAATTGATGCTGGAGCTTCAGTTCAACCTATGGAAAACTGATGCGGGGCCATCCAAAATCACCATGTGGACGTGGGTCAAATTGACTGGTAAAGAGAAGGACGTAGCCCTTCAGATGTCACTTTGCCCTGAAAAGTGAAGAGAGTCACACAGCCTTGACCCATGCCCACACTGGATTCGCCTCACACAGATTTTGCAGACGGACGCAGTAACGGTGACACCCGTTTTTGGGGAGGAGGCGTTCGTTTTGGGCGGCCCCAGATGAGTCAGAGATCTCCCCTACAGTGGAACCTAGTTCAATATTCTCCATCCGAACAGGCGCGTTTGGTGCGCGATTCCACTAGCGCTCCGCGCAGTCCGGCCTGTTCATTCCACTGGCCTATGTTTTTGACCAATGATGATGTGATAAACTATGTGACCTGTGATTACCTATGAATCATCCATCCACTGTTGATTGAACAGTGGATAAGGATCTCTTCATCCAAGTTTAAGGAGGTTGCAGACAGTTGCAGAAGCCAGTGATCCATCTGCACGGGGGCTGTCAAACCGCCCTGCGACGTGCAGCTTCGAGTCTGGCTCGATCTGTGTGAACACCACGTGCAACAGGCATGCTTTGCTTCGTTGATCTATCTCCCTCCACATAGTTGAAAACTGCAAGCAAGAAGAAAGCAACTTTTGGGTTCGTCAATTCAGGGTCCGACAATTTTGAGCAGCTGTGCCGAGCACCGTGCAGCCGGCACAGCTGGTGCAGCCGACGCAGCCCGCAGACCGTGCGAGCAGAAAAGGCTACTGTAAGTCTTCGTTCAGATCCCTAGGGCCGATTTCTGGGACTACTCTGACTCTGAAGGTACACATTCTCGAGGATTGGGGCATGGCCCCATGGCCCACCCCCTCAAACTTGCTCCTTTCCCAAACCAAAGAGACCTGAGTGGCACATCAACCTCCCCATTTCGTTCCATTGAGATTTATCATTGCTGTCCTGTCACTGAGATCTATCCTTGCTCCTGTGCTACAGAACGATTGCATCATCCTTTTTCTGAAGAAACACCCGAGAGTCCGCGGTCCGCGGCAGTTCCGCCGGGGGTCCGCGAAAACCCAATGGGAACACACCAAACCCGAACGGCCTCCGTCCCGAAACGCCTCCCCCGCGAAACGCCTCCTGCGAACGCCTTCCCCCAGACACTCCATGTATGCCATATATGCCTAACACGGTCGGTCGGGGATCCCGACGGAGCGGCCGCGGCAGATTTTGGAGCTGCGGCCGCTGTGGGAGGTGCCCCTGGGCGCGCTGAGCGACGGGCAGCGGCAGCGGGTGGAGCTGCAGAGAAGACTGGGCGCTGTGGAGACGGAGACGGTGGTCTTGTGGCTTGATTGGAGCGGTTGTGGGTGGTGAAAGGTACGTGCTTTGGAGCGGTTTGGAAAGGGGGGCCCGGTTGGTTTGATGGTTTCTTTCTGGTGCTTTGAGGTTTTGCTGCAGAGTAATTAGGTCACCAAGAGTTGCAGAGAAAACACGAGAACACATGCTTTAGCCCAATAGTCTTGTAGATCATTATGCATGGTGGGTGGGTTTCGTTCGAAGTAGATGATCAACTCCTAAGCACGGTCTTCGCATTGGGTTCCTCATCTCAACGACAAAAGGACTTCAGGGGTTTCTTTCTGCCACTGCAGTCTGCTCTGTTTCTCCATTTTCTCACCTGCTCCACCTGCGCCCTCGGGGAGCTGGCCCCCTTAAGGTTGGATGAGATCACGGCCGAGCTGGACATGTTGGTGAGACAGGCCGAGCACGCGCCACGCGCCCGCGCGCGCCGGCGCGCGCCCGCGCAACGCGCCGACGGAGTGGTTCACCGCCGCCTAAGGGCGAAGAAGAAGATCCACCCCCAACTGGAGCGACGGTCGCGCCCCCAAAAACCATGGGTCACCTGTGGGACGGACAGCTTGCAGGGTGGAGATCTTGCGGCAGACCTCCCAGCCAACCATGAGTGAAGCTTGAAAAGGGCCTTTGATGTCGCCACCTTCACATGGGTCTAACTTCTGCCCACCACCTGGGACGAAGTCTAAACTTTACCACCCAGTCTGGTCCGTCCGTCCGAGGACTTGCTGGACTGGCTGGTTGAAGCGAACTGCACCGTGCTGAACGTCACGCACGTCTTCGAAGCTTGTGAAGGCGGTCGTGGTCGGAAGGTTCGGTCGTCCCTGGTGTGGGTCTGGCAAGGCCAAAAAGGGAATGGAAAAAGGGAGGTGCTCAGTGCTCAGGTAGAGAAGGGAGGTGCTCCCTTAAACACCCTTCAAGTACCCAAGCTCCCTTCAACGTCGGAGCTGGCTCTTGGAGCTTCTTAGCTTTCATTCCATTAAAGACACAGTCCAAAATAACCTTGCGGAACTGGCGGCCCCTGTTTTCTTTTTTTGTTCCCTTGCAATCCTTCTGCTCCAAATGTTCCCCCGGACGTCCAATTTGAGGTCAGCTCCCACCCACATTCTCCCAGCATCCACGTCCGGAGGTTGGGCCACTCATCTCCTGTACCTGCAGGGCGCAGCCAGCCACCTCGAGCCGCTCGAGCCAGCCGCAACGGCGGGGCCGTGGCCTTCGCTCTTCGCTCGGGCGGTGGAGCGGCTTGGCCAGGCGCGCAAGGGTGGGGATGGATGGGTAAGGGGGATTAGGGGATGGGTGTGCAGTAGGGTGACCTCCCAACCCCTAGGATTTAGTATGCCCAGACACTCCATGGGACTGCCATAGGACTGCCGATCAGTTGGGGTGGTTTTGGGGGTCAATGTAGGCATATATGGCATACATGGAGTGTCTGGGATGTCTTTGATTTTCACAGAAATCATTGTGAGGGGTCTCCTCATTAAGAGTCGGAGTCGCCTGGCTAGAATGGGGTTGGCTCATGTTGGCTTGTTCGCACGGGCTTAAGCCCACTGAGTGTGCCCAGAGGGCAGTGATGCGTGTGACCCCAGAAAGAGAGCACATCGAATGCGTTTGATAGACATGCACGGTGTAGAACATGTCTGGGACATCGTTTCTATTTGAGAATCTCTAGAATCTAGAGCCGAAAGACGTTCGTTCTAGTTTCTGTCCGCACTGCCCTGGTCTGCCCCTCACAGCTTCAAAGCCAATCATCTGATGAATGGATACGAGATGCTGGTCTGCCAACACAAATCATCCAGTTGCCGCGCCCACAACGCCCACCAGAAAAGCCCGTCAAGCGAATGACACAGATGCACCGTCTTAGTCCGCTCTTGTTGGGACTCTTTCAAGTGAACCGATCCCGATCCCCCCTCGGCTTCGACCGAGCTGGCAGGATGCCCCGACTCCTATGGCTCGCGCTGCACTCCCGCGTGCTGTGGGCACCACAGCTGGTGTGGACATCGAAGACCTTCGCTTCGACTATGGCCGCGGGACGGTGCTGTCGGTGGCTTGGAACCAGAGTGAATGAGGGGGAAGACATGCTGAAATGCAGAGGTTTCAGGATTTTGAACGCGGTTTGGAAGTGATCAGCTCCGAGCTGCTTGGAATTAAAATCTATCTATCACAGATCTGAAGAGCTATAGCTACTAGCGAGCCGTAAAAACACCAATGTGCATGATTCTTTCTCCCGCCACGGCTCATCATGGTTTTTCCCCTCAAAAGGAGCAGACAACAAAAAGCCACCTTGGAATTTGTCTTCGCTGCTCGCAGGTGGAGAAGCTCTCTCTGCCTGTCGGGTGCCGATGCCTCTTGGTGGGGCTCAACGGTGGTGGATGCTCGGCGTTGAAAGGAAGGTCGACTGTCTCCCAACGGTTCGCCTCTTACTGTAAAAGTACCACGCAGTTTTCGAAACAGAACGGGGCTGGGCCCAATGCTTTGGCAGCAGTTCACTTCGTCCGTCCACCGTGTTCGCGTGCCGCACGCGCGTCTTAGCGTCTTATAGCAGTGTCGGCTGACACGCCTCAGGCAAGTCAACGCTGCTCAACGTCATGGCAGGCGCCGCCCGCGCTCCGACCCGCCGCGGTGGTGGAGGACCCAGTCCTTGAGTCACCATATACCAGGACCCACGCGCTGGTTGGGTGGTTCATGGACACCCCTTCATCACCTCCTTTCGGAGCTATCAATGGAAGCCCCTTAGGGTGTCCTGGTATGGGTCTTAATAGACAAAAGACCCTTGCATTAACCGTGGCTGGGTAGACGGGTGCCCATATTCTCTAAGCTAGGTGTGGAGCAGGACCTGGCAGCCTAGCCTACAGAATTCTGTATGTTGCCTCTATTCCTTCTAGTCTTAGAACCCTTTTCAGGAACCGTGACGTGCACTATACAACGGGCGTGTCAGACGCGAGGCCGGCGCATGGCAAAGGCCCAAAAGCTGCAAGTACTGGGCGGCCATCCATTCGAGGCGGACGGGGTGAAGCGTTCTGGGTTTGTCCTGCGTCTATTTGGGCTGGAAGAGGTTCTCTTTGGAAGAAACGACCTTCCAAGAGGTCTCCATCTCCAGAACTACGTGGGACTAGAATCCAACACCACGGATTCTGTGTGTTCATCAATAGGGGTGTCCATGAAAACCACTCCTTGGAGGTCCAGGAGTCCAGGATGTAGTTGAGTTGAGATCCTTTTTTGGACTTTCCATACGGATTTGGCAGGTCCCTGCATGTTTTTGTGGGTCCTTGCGAGGAGAGGGACATCCAAAGCGAGAGATCACTGACCGACCGACCCTTGGCGGTGCATGGTCCACATCCAGGGCAAAGGTTTTGCTTGGGTTCAGGATGGGACTGGCTCTGTCGTTGGGAGATGTCCCACTGCTCACAGAGGAAACCATAATCTTGGCCTCCTCGAAGGCAAACGATCCCGGAATCCCAGGACCCCTTTACTCAACCTGAGCACCGCAACCTGGGGCGGACGAAGAATGCTACAACTCCAACCACTTCACAGAAGGAACCCTTTGTAGAAGAAGGAACCCGTTTGTTTCTACAACTTCTTCAAGAAGGAACCCCTTTAGTAGAAGATGTTGCACCTGAGACTGGAGACTCTCACTGCCCCGCACAGGAGCGGTGGCTGGACCGGGAGATCTCCATTCTCAGCAGCGAGTGGAAGCGCCAGGCGGACGGTGGAAGCGACGGGTTCGGTCGGAGAGGTCGACCTGTTGTTTTCACCCAGGACGTCGACCTGGAAGGACCAGTGATGGTGCAGACTGGCCTTCTTTTTTGGGGGGGTGAAGACGTGGTTCTTTTTCGCAAGAAGCGCCTTTTTTAGCAATTAAGGGGGGTTTCCAATTTGTGGAGGGTGGTCGGAAAGTGTGAGGTTTTTGGAGCAACTAGACTGATCCAACATGGTGGATTGCGCAATTTTCGTCACAAGGACCTCTGCAGATCCTCGACTTTTCAGATCGGATTTCTGGCCCAGAATAGGTGTTTGAAACGTTTGCCATTTTCATGATTCTGATGACTCGTTGTTTGAGCCCATATGTTTCATATGGACATTCGTATAGGGCGCACGGGCGCATGTTTTAGACCACCGTCGAGTGGACCTTCGTCGCATGCGCCCGACGGTTTTGCTGGCGCTCGGTCGGTCCCGTTCGACGGTGACGGTCAGACGGAGCATATTCTGCAGACCCATATGTACTCTGATGGATCCCTAGTTGCTCTATACTCCCTGAAATGATCATGGTGTCTGGTGGATCCCTAGTTGCTCTATACTCCCTGAAATGATCATGGTGTCTGGTGGATCCCTAGTTGCTCTATACTCCCT